GATCAAACTACAAATCTCCTTTAAAATGGTATTTCCCAGTTTCAGTCAACAATTCTGGCAGTGAATTTCCTGAAAATGTAGAAGCTACGTGTGGAAAGGCTATGGATTTATCAGTTTACTTACAGATAATGATAGTTAGGTGCCATACTTGCCCATTGTGTACTGAGTATAATAAAAATCTAAGAAGGAAAACAGTACGGGGTAGGGTGGTGGGACTATGCCACATTGCTGGCAATGAATTATACAGGGATGTTTCTTCCTAAGGCCTATGGATGAACTAGGCTTCAATTTACATTATTTTGACAGTGCTCAGAAATAGAGATGCAAAGGTGCCTTAAAGGTCTTGCAAGCTAGTTCAAACTACATTCTGGTGCAAGTATTGAATGATTGAGAGTGAAGGTCATTAATAGTCGGAATCTCCACCAGTCTGCAAAAATAGTTAGTGCTAATTATACCTAATTGAGTATCTCTTCTTTTATTGTGAAGCACAGAAACACTAAATATGATTAGTGGCCATTAGCATAATTTGAACTAGGAAGCATATGATTTTCTAGGGTAGCTGCACGTGTAATTCCAAATAGCTCCACTTTCTCCCCCTATTGTTATGCCACTATTAGAGAGCTTTTGCTAGCTATGGGGTGAAGGCCCTGGAGCACTGGCGGGTTAATTTTTATTGCTATAACTCTATTTTATCTATACAGAGGTTTGAAGGTCACAATTTCAAGTTCTGGATGAACAGAAGACAACGCGGGGCTCCCTCACTTGGTATTAATGCCATTTCTGCACCCTTTGCACACGAATTTGAGACTAAATAGCTTATATCTCCTTTTATTTAAAGTGACTTCTAAGTAGTATAGAATCCCATTTCAGTCAATATAAATACCTAACCATTTGCAATATTTTTAAGTTAAAAAAAACATATATATCAATCTGGGCTAGATGGATCCAATTAAAAAAGATATCAAGTTAAACGAGCACTTTACAGTGGTGAACTTACAACTTTTCAGCAGACTAAATCAAATTTAGCTTGGAAGCAGCGAACTGAAATACAAAGGATATGCAAATGCATGGTCGAAGGATAATTAAAAAACCCCTCTCCACAGTTTTCATGCACACTAACTGCATTCTTGGTTATAATCTGACATTCAAAATGTTCTCCAGTTGAAAAAAGAAAGGGAAAAAAAAAAGTAGTTAACCTCCTTAGAAACACTGTAGATTCTCTGTGTTTTGAAACTCACTGAAAAAAATCAGACCCGAGAAGGATTCAGTTGCTCAGCGCTTTTATTTCACAAAAGAATGAACATCTCGGCAAACATGTAGTATCATACTCTCCACATACTAGGAGAGCCCAGGCAGGAGCAAAACTCTATGCTTTATTGGATGTTAGAAGGGAAAAAAAGTAAATTGAGCATAATGTTCAGCTATAAATATTGTCAAATATATCCCTGGTTTCAGTCTGTTTTAATTAAGACAGATCTTATGCTGCCTCCTGTTGGTCACCTACAAACAGAAACATCTAAAATGAGACGCCACATTACGAACTGCAGACAGCAGACCCTATAGCCTACACCTTACTTAGTACCTACTACTAATCAGAGGAGGTATACAGCTTTCCTCGTGGAGTAATGCCCAGTAAATCTACTCCATTTTGTGAATATAGTGAATTTTTAACAGCAGTAAACTTACTACAAATGTATTTAGAATACAGAAAATAAATTCATTAGTACATAAATAATAATCATCAGGTCTGTGCAAACATAATCAATATAAACACCTGAATAATTGATACTTATTATAACAACTAAACCAGTATGATAAGACTACCAAAGTGCCATAATGTTTTGATAGCATTCTTTAAAAATTAAGATTATCCAATATAATCATTACCGGATATTAAAATCCCACATACAATATATATTATCTTCCTGTATATATTATACTGGTCATGCTTATAATGTGTTCTGTGACATATAACAGAATACTATTAGAAATGTTTTGGTTACATCATTTAAGTGCAAATAGTAGAATGTAACTTTACATGCAATTTGTATACAGCTTTAAACATCTTACTATATTTCAGTGAGAACATAGGTAATCATTAATGTAGTCATCACCTATTTTTAGAGGAAGGTACTTCTTAAAGTACTGTGAGCTTTGAAAAGTCAGAAACAATGTAGAAAAACTCGCTTTGCATTAATTTTGTAATTTTGTGACTTTTTAAAAATTGCTTAACAGCTGCGTAAAGTAGACTGAAAAAATCTATTTGATCCAGACCTACAGCAGTTACTCATGCAAGTAATCCCTATTCTTCTGAGTAGTGTAGTTGACTTCGGTGAGATTTCTTACATCATTAGCGATTAATTACAGGATGTGGAACACAGGCCCTTAATTCTATCATAAAGGCTTGTTTTTAACCATGACTTTCTAAAACAGCTTCTTCTGCACTCAATTCTGCTATCAGGTTTAACTCTTTGAATGTGGAATTGTGGCAAAGGACCTTTTTCCTTCTATGAGAGTTGTAATACAGGCTTACCTGCATAACTGAAGGAAACTTGTACTATTTCACAGTAACTTCTCTGTAAGCAATGGCATAAAGTAACTGTCACTACAGCGTCATTTCCTGATCACCGAGTAGGAGCGCTCAACTCCATTTGAAATCACAGAATGATTTGTCAAACTGGGAACTGACACTAGTTCCTGTGCAAACTTAGCCTATAATATATTAAAGAAGCATGTCTGTTTTCCAAAATAAGCTTCAATTTTCACTATATATACTGAGTAATTTACCACATACACCATTGCTCTCTCCGATGTCATATATCAGATGCATGTAGCAAGTAGCTGGATGGAAGACTGCCAAAAAAAGCTTACTGTAAGGAAAAACTTAAAGGAAAGAGCGTCACCTGAATTGCTGACTCACTTATTGTTTGTGTGACCCAGCAATTTGGTCATGACACTGGTCATTAAAAAACCTCGCAATCTCTATTCTCTTCCAATTTGCATAGCTATTTATACCCATATACTATGGGCATAACATGTTACTTTTCTGATTGCATAAAATGCATACTCATATTACTCGGGTGTAAAAACAACATAAAAACACAAGCAGAGGAGAACTGGGCCTTGTATTCTGATGAAGCGACAAGTTGCAATAATTAATGGTTAATGAAGTCTCTATGCTACCTTGAGTAGCTTTATTAATGCTAAAACTACTGTTATCCTATGTGTCTATTTTTCTCCTGCTGTTTCAGTAAGCAGGAATAGTATTCTTCATCTCTGCTAAACTATTCAATACATTTGCTTTGCACTAACAAAAAGTAGTTGTGTTCCCATATAAAAATGCTTGTGTTTCACTACGGTGATTGTAAAGGTTACCTGGCTAAGTGTAGTTATGATATGATTTGGAGACTCGCTATGAAAAAAGCAAAATAAATGTGGAAGTTGCCTAAAATACTATAATAACAAGCTGTTTACTTCTACAGAACTCACGCGCATCTTAATACAAATAAATTATTGAGTGGGAGGGTTCCACTCATTAATATGTTCTCCAAATGTGCATAATTTTCATTCACATCCTTAACGAAAATATTTAAGATGAATGTTACTTAAATTTATAAAGGTATCTGACAACAAATTATGGAGCCAATAACAGATTTTGAGCTTTCCATTTTTTCCTGTTTAAGACACAATTATGTTGCTAGGCAATATTAAGCTTTAAGCATTAATACTGACCTTAAGTTTTGTAAAAAGTACATGCAGTAGTGATGTGATGATAATGAACTTACCGCGGCTGTCTCAAGCCATATGAAAGATGTTTTAGACACCTCACTAAATTTTGTTCGTTTTTAAACTACTTGGAAAAGATGTGCTTAGACGTTCAGAACCATTCAATGACAAGACCTTACTTCTTAAATGATATTTATATGGAACATAAGAGCTCCCAGTATCTTATTCAAATAGCTGGAAAGAAAGAAAATTCTCAGGCTGTGGAAGATTAAAAATGAATTTATGAAACTTAGCTAATTTCAGTGTCCTTCTGTCAGACACTCTGTGTGCACGAGATCAGATTCACTTCACAACGTATGCCTAGGCTAATACTAAAAGTCCATTACAATTTTAACATTATAATAAGATGACTACTGAAAGTTTATCAAGCAATATATTGTGTAGTGTTTACCAAGTAATATTTTAACACTTAAAATTACTACGACGTACAAGATGAAAGTGTTTTAATTCATTTAAACCACCATAGAAGTTAAAAAAAAAGGAATTCTTTCACTTCGGAAGTACTATTTACTTTTCCTTTAAATATGGAGATTTGTTTTCATAACTTTGTATTTGATGTATGACAAGATACAAACTTTTCCCGTAGTTAACCGAAGGAAAAACTAAAATTTATTTTGCAGCTTGCTGCTGTAAGCAGACCAGTGGCTGTTTAGAAGTTAGCACTGGAGACTTCAGAGATGGAAGACTTCTGTGAGAAAACACCCTAAAGCGTTTTTTCTATAGTTCACAGCATGACTGAAGCAAAGGTACCACATGAATCATCCACCCTGTGGAAATCCCCCCTCCTCTGCACTATGTTATCAAAGTTTATCTTGGGATGAATGGGATGAAAACAGCAAGTACAGCTACTACTAAGGCACAAGGATGGAGAAACTGGTAAAACTGAAGAGCTGAAGATGATAGGAAATATCAGTCTCTTCAAGTTAGATACCAGGTTTTAATGCTGTGAAGGTCACTTTGGCTCTTGCCCTTGCTAAGGTCATTCTAATAAGATAAAGCTGACAATGAATTTCTCTTACAGGTTTATGAGCATAAAAAACCCTAAATAAAACAACACTAATGTAGATTTCTTTTAAACTTCAGTTACATAGGGAAAACAGTATCACAGTCAGTTTTCTCACTCAGCAATTTGTCTGCTGGGACAATTGTGAATACTACAGAAATAATGGCACATATTACACAATGAATTCCTCATGATTATGCTTTTTTGAAAAGTAGTATCATTTTGCAAATTATTCAGATAATTACAGAGAAGACTTGCATATAAAATTAAGTAATACTTTCTATATAATGACTAGTGTGAATGACAATTTAATGGACACTTCCAAAAGCAATTCTATAGCATACAATTTAAACTAAAGGTTTAAACAAAATGGTATATATTTTTCCATCTGTAAATTAATACTTAAAAATCTGTTCTAAAACTTGTGCATTTAAATAGGTTCTTTTCAGTCAGGAGTTTCAAAATTCTCCTGAGCAAATTGTCAGTACAGATGACCAGGGGTCCCTATATTTATTGAATTGAATGACCTGACAGTAAAACTCAGTTAAGGCTCTTGGCATTGGTGAAACTTCTTCCCACTCAGACCTACTACTATGGTAGACTTGAACTTCATCTGTGATTTCTTCTGGAGCGTAATCGCCACCTAATATATAAATCTTGTCTTCTGTCCCAACTGCCCCTGCGTTAAAGCCAGCGCATTCAAAAGATCCTTCCCCTTTCCAAACGCAGGTTTCTGGGCAAAAGCTGTAGACCTTGTAGGTGGAGAGATCACATATGTACAGTGTACAGTTCACTGGAACAGCTTTGATTAGAGTTGCATGGAAAAATTGCCCAAATTCTGCTACAAGCTCAGACCACTGATCAGTCGTAGCATTATACTTAAAGAAACAGTCAAGAGATGGATTAAAGGCATCAGTAATCTCTACTTCTGAGCCAAGGACGTAAATTATATTCTGACATGCGCTTGCTTCTGGATAGTAGATACCTCTTGGTAATTGGCTTACAGATTTCCAGTCTTTGGAAAGAGGATTATAGGATTCTACATCCAAGAGACTTCGGGCTTCTTGAGCTCCTCTGGTCTTTCCACCTATTACAAACAGCTGATTCAAGGTTACAACGGATGTGTGCATTGTCCTTGGTTTTTTCATAGCTGACACTATGGAGAATTCATTGCTGACTGGACAGTAGCACCACGTTTGGTCAGTGGCATCATGAAATGGTTCAGCAATATGAAGCCTGACAGTCCTGTAACAATTCCCTTTGCATCCTCCAGTTATAAATATTTTCTCTCCATAGCTAGATAAGCTTGACCCTGGAAGATCAATCATGTGTGTGTGTGGTAGTTCTCTCCATCTATCTGTTTTGATGTTGTAGCAGAATGTATGTCTGTTTTCTCCATCTTCATCAGTTTTATGAACAAATATATATTTTTCTGTTGTTGAAGGACGTGCATCTGGAAATAGTCCACTAAAATTTTGCACACTTTTAACTGCATCATTGATTATTACTGAGCAATTAGCACTCTTAAGTAAGTGTTCTTCGGAATGTAGAAAATCCTGTAAAGTCTTTTCAGGTAACTGGTGTAGTCTCACTTTTTTAATCAAATTAGGTAGATACTTTTGTCGTGTTTCTAAGTTATGTTTAGTCCATTGAAGGACAGCTTTCAACACGGATTCTTCCTCAGGGACATTTAGTTCATCAGCCTCAAGACACTTTTGTAAAATCTCAAAATTCATCTCCAAAAAATCACTTGATCTGAGCAGCAAGGAAAAATGGTGCTGTACGAAATCTAGCGCATGATCAAATAAGCGGACAGAACCGTAACTTTCTGATAGAGAAAGCAACTGTAAGCAATTCACAAGATCAATACTTTTTATTAGAAAGTCACTGCAAGCTTTGGAAAGGAGTGAAACTTGAAGAAATGATGACAATTGGAAGAGCATTTCCACGTTATCATTTGTTATCTCTGTTTTTCCTGTGTAAGCGTAATCAAGAAAAGCTTTCACTGCCTTGGGTGATAGATTACTAATAGTAACATTGCCATCATCTCGTTCTTTCATATTAACTTCAAACATGGCTCTGTGAATAAAATACAGAAGATATACATACAAATTAGAGATCTAGCAAACGGCAGAGAACACTGATGTGAGAGGAAGGAGACAATCGGGGCATATAATAAGATGGGCAGGCTGTATAGATCTAAAATGTGGAGGTTCTTATAAGCAAGAACAATACATTTGCTTGCTATGGTTGAAGAATGAAGGAGAGGTGATAAGCACACATTCAAAGTGATAGCTCAAAAAAAAGATAGCAGCACCCATGTTTTGTATGGCTTTTCACAGAAAGAGATGAAGTCTACAGCTCTCAATGTGAGACGAAACGTGAGATTGTTAGAGGCAGCATCAGTTTCAACACCTTGAGAAGGAAAAGCTGATTTAAGAAATATATAGTAAAAAAGCCCCACGATTTAGGCAATGCACTGTGGACGAATACAGAAAATTAAGCAGAAAAAGGCCTTCCAAATTGAAGGCTGAGCAAATGGCAGGATGGATGATGGGTGCATTCAGTAATAAAAGTGGGTGCGGGGTCAATGAGGAGAAAAAATATGAGGAAACTTGACTCTTGCTTGACAGACAGATGTAATAAAAAAAATGAGGTTTTGACATAGGACTGGATGATACAATGAAATTTGTGCAGAAAGCAGATTGTGATTGATACAAAGACGATGGTTGAAATTGTGAAACAAACATTATTGATCAGTAAATTTGTGCAATTTTATTAAAATTTCGACTTACTAAATATGTAATAACATTTAACTATTTCACAATCTGACATGGCAAGATAAAACAATTAAGGTTTCTCAAGCCGGTAAGTGCTGGCAATACAACAGTGCTGCAATGTCACTTGCCCGACCCTCCTAGAGCCTAAGCATCAGGCTGGGATAGCAACAGCTCCTGACTTCGACAAAAGATAGTATACAATCTGGACTATTAATATATCATAGGTAGTTCCTCTTAAAAGAAGAGTATTATATATTGTTACACAATTAGTATGTGTTTAGCACATGGTTTTAAAATCCCATACTTTCATGAAGCCAAGGAGAAAAAAATAAATAAAATCATTGTGTATAGCATACTCTTTGGGAAGTAAACATCAGGTAAATCAGGAACTTATCTGACCTCCTGAACAAGAACATGAAATTACAATAAGACCTTTATGTCCCAAAGACCCTTTTGCATACTAAATGATGATCCTTAGTATTGTTTCCTCATTAACCCGAAGAGCTATTATACAAATCTCTGAATTACAGATTAGAATGGAGAGGATGCGGGAAGCTTAGGAAAGCTACGTTTACATGCAACAGCAACTGAACAATACTAGTTGGAGGACAGCAATGTAGACAAAGGTTTTGATTCTGAAAGCTAACAAGTAGGGAGCAAAATGTTGCTGAATCTTGAGTTTACACAATGTTGCTGAATCTTGAGTTTACACAATGAAACCAAAACTAAAAGAAGTCCTAAGGCCAAGGAAGACAAAAGGTGTTTCATTTGAAATTTATCTAGTGGACCTAGGTACTTCTTATTCCCGGAAGGTAATAAATGGGCCTTGCATTCTAGGACAACTTATGAATTTGATAGGTGCTGTTATCAACTGTGACACACAGGGAGAGGTCTCTCCTGGCAAGTTTTAACCTCAATAGCCTGTAAGTAGTGAAAAGACTATGTATGTTACCATGTGTTTAACTTCAATTCTAAAAATTACCACTGGAAGCTATTTCATCCTAATATTCCTTTTTACCAGAGCATCTTTGTGCTGTCAAGCAGTAAACACTTGAAATGCAAGTAGTTGTGTGTGTGAGGGAAAAAACAAATCTGCCGCTACAGTGGAGAAATAGCTTATTTCATCTGCATTTCTTCTTTTTTCAGTAGTCCTAAGAATACATCTAGGTGCTCTGTCATATATAGGAGACTCCCATAGACCATGGGATGCTCCACGCCATTTGAAAATAACACACGTCACCTAGGTATGGGCAAATGAATCAAGCTCATCAACTCTTTTTTTTTTTTTTTTTTGTTAGAGCCCATTTTTTCATTGTTAGAGCATCTTAGTTTTGTGTTTTAGTAAAGAGTGTATTTGGAAACAGACTTTCAGTGTAGAATTGCAAGTTTGAGCCATACTAATAAAAAGGTTAGCAAAGTTCTTAATAAATTAATATCCTGTATGTGAATGATCTGTCTGTCACTTAAGAATGCATAGCTTTAAGCACCAGAAGGAAGATCACAGATCCATTTCATGCTGAAAGGCTGAAATCTACAGTTTAGAAAAAAATACGGTATGTTTAAATACCCCTGAAGAAAAACTCTACTATAGTGACCACTGATCTTAGACAAAATCCAGCCCCATTCCAAAACCCTGTACAATTTATCCACAATTGCTCAGTGCAAGATGTATTTGTAATCAACCCGTTGTGTTTCATAATATAAACGTGTCAAAGTACATAGACTGTTCCACATGAAGTCAAACAATACCCTTGCAGACCTTCAAGTACCGGCTGCAGGCAACAGACAAGTCTTAAAGATACACAACTTGTGTGAATTCCACCTAGCAGCAGAACCATGCACTTATGGTTTGACGTGTATTTCAGAGTATAGACTGCTGTCTGAATCTCAGATTCCTAGGGTCCTCACGTCACTCTGGAAATTCAAAGAGATGTATTTGGGGTATGGTTACTACACTGTAGTTTTGGGGTTTTTTGCTATCCTTAATATGTTTGAACACTTTGCTCAAAACTCTGCAGACGTATGTAAATTGTGATGATTTATTTTTAAATTTTTGTCAATATATTCCTTCCCTCCTTCCCAGAGAACTTAACAATCAATTTCCTGCAAATTCATGCCAAAATTAGGTTTACCTGAAAAAATCACTGCACGCTGCCAGTACACAACGATGACAAGGAATGATTTCATCTTTCACAAGAATTTTAAAATCAAAAAATATATTTTGTTCTCTGAACTTTTGTAGTACTTTTAGAATTTGTTGTCCATGACCTTCAGCCACTAAGGAATTGATTTTATTTTCAGGAACAGAAATTCCATTGCAAATAGGTCTGCTAATGTAATCCCGTTGATTGGCCATGGTTTCTTCAATCTATTCCTGAAACTGAAACGGAAAAATAAGTAATTGATTCTACAGTCTTACTATTTGGAAAAAAAAAATAATACAACAACAACAATATACCATAAAACAAACAAAAAAATTCCCAGCATTGAATTTGTCCTATGCACAGTTCTAAATTTGTGTTAGAAGTGACTTTTACACTGAACTTAATTTGATAATACTACTTCTACTTCGCAAAATATATACACATAATATATACACTTTGAAAAGTAAAATATTTGACGTATCAAAGAACAACTCTAAAAATAGTACCCACCTGTAGGAATTTTTTCAATAAAGTCCACAGGAAGCACACCAAGGAGTGTGTTAAAATTTTTAACAGTCATTTAAGAGAAAGACTAGTCCTAGGCATACCCTCAAAAAGCCCCAGATTCTTACAATCTGATGTGAAATAAAGATGGAAAAGGAAAACTTTGTTACATATTTTTTGATTCCAAAAGGCTCATCTGTATACTACAAACTCCCAAACTCAATGCAGACCAATGGTCTTTCTACAGCTTACAGTGGACAGGAGATACAGGCTACGAGACAACTTTCCAAGTGGGCTCCCATTAGGCACTCCGGCCTGAAATAACAGAATACGAACACCGACAGCCTGGCCTGATCACAGAATTGCTGGGGCTTACAGATGGGGTCGTTCGGGGGTGGGCAGGTGACAGTGCAACTTTCAGTGTTCAGCCAATTGATACTGATTTTATCTTGTACCTTTAGTCCTCCCATGAAGCGGTATGTTTGCTTACAGCTTTATGCTGCCACTGCGAGCTTCGTTTACAGTGGTGTAAATTAACTGGCTTCGGAACTGATTTGGATTTAAGACAGTGTGGTCTCCCTTCCAGCAGCCGAGTTTTTCTGGTGAAAAACTCTATACTGACGTGCATTGTTCATACAGTAAGTTGGGTCTCACTATTTTTTACATTAAAAATATTTTAATCCACTTTGACAACATAAAAAAAAACCTTTAAACATGAGTATACTTTATTTAAACCTATTTAAAGAGCTTGTTGTACTGTTACAGATGCATAAACTGCCCTTACTGTAAATTTGAAAGAAGCTTGCCTATTTTAAAGCTTAAGGAAACATTCCGAGGTTTTTCTATTGCAGTATTCTGCTTCTACAATTTCAATTAAAATTAGCAACAGATAATGGCCCACCTGAGTTGACAAAGAAGGGGATAAAAAAATTCCAAGCCAAACTCAGAAACTAGAAAAATACTGGTTTGGGTTTTTCATTTCATGAAAAAGCTTATCTGATAACGTGATACATTCAGAACAAACTAAGCCATCAGGCAGTCTTCTTCATGGGAGGTACTTTCATAGCAGACTGATCTATACTTTATCTAGTCAGGTAGCTCCAACCACAAATAGACCTCCATGTCTCCTGGAATAGAAGAGATCCATTGATCTTGCTGCCAGCACTGGCACCCCTGGAGCAGGCATCTTCTCCTTTCCATGGCCAGACAATCTCACGTATTCACTGTTTCCATTCTAAGCCTGAGGAACTAGGAAAATACAGAAGAACAAGACCACCATTTATTCTGATAATGTATGGCCTCATAAACCCCAATTTCCATAAATCATAAAGAACTTTTGTATGTCAGAATTCTCCAGAATGTCCTTTTCTTACGAAATTAAAAGCCTGTTGCTCAAAAGACTCAATCTTCAAAAGCAGAGTTGTTTCAGTAAAATTAGTTTCCCACATTTGAATCAAATGTTAAAAAAAAAAGAATTGAATTTCAAGGTTTATTTGGCATCATGTAAAGTAGCAACACTTCTAAAGCAATTGTAAACTTTTTCACAAAATTCTGGAATTGATAACAGATAGTAGATGTGTTTCTCCTTTTACACGCAATTTCTATGGCAAGATCTGACCTACTACTTGCTTTCTGTAGGTAAAATTGCCAATTTCAGTAATATTCATCTTTGTATAATGAACAGAGAAACATCTAATGTTATCAAGTCCATCTCTGATATTTTAGGCAGACATCAAATAATCACTTTCATAAAAGCAATTTGTGTTTCTAAGTTTTCTTTTACCGCCACTATTTCCACAGGACTATCCCAGTACATTGGTGCCAAGACTGCAAACGTTCTTTTAATTATACAAGCAATTTATTAATGCTTACATATATTTGTTCTTCTGTCAAAGTTATTTGACTTAATTTTCCTTTGTATATTTATTCACTCAAAATTATCAAGACTGTTGATATCCTCTCTCAACTTTTATTAGAATGAACAATTGTCAAACTTTCCAAAGTCCAATTATAAAACTGAATTGTTGTTTGCCTTATTATTTCTTGCAGTCTTCTCTCCATCCACTCCAGTCTGATCTCATATTTCTTTCACAGATTGTTATACAAATGGTTAAGATCTCCTCAGTGTCTCACTACTCCAATTTGCAGGTCATCCAGTGCATTCTAATCTCTAATAGCAGTGTCTACTTACTTTTTATTAAAAGCAAATTTCAGTAGCGTACCTCTAATGTTTTTGTCTATCATTAAAGAAGATACTAATGAATACTGTGCTACAGCTTAGCTTAATTCACCCTTCCCTCCAAGCCATTAAAAAAATATAATATTCAATTCTCACCTCCCTTGTAGCAAATTCCTGCTTTATTTGATAATTTTGGTACTAAGTTATCACTTTACTGGATCTGCTGATGATTTTAGGGCCCTCCAACATAGCCTAGCAATTCAGCTAAAACTTGCTATGTTGAACATGGCCAACTAGCATCTAGAATTATTTCATGAATTCTTCTACGAAGCCGTATGAATTAATCAATAGCTGTATTTACAAATATTTGATCAAGTTTCTGACAAAGAGGTAGAAAACATAGAGGGTGCAGACATACATTGTGTAGATCTGGAGCTCAGGAAAGCTGGGCAACGAGCCTCCTTATATTTGCTCCATTTGCTCCCACAGGATTCCAATTACAAAGTCTGGTTTTATGTGGATTACCAAGAACCAAACTCCAGTAGATGGTCCATTAGAGTTGGGATCTCCTACTTTTGTTTCTTAACATATGGCTGTGTGCCATACAGCTTCTTATCATGGCAGGCAAAGGCTATATACTGGAACCCTCTTCCATCATCTGACATCTGGCTGTCACACAACCAGCCTTCCAGCATCTCCTGTAACATGACGCATCAGACCCTGAGTACTGGCGTATGTGACTGGGTATTGCCTGCAGTCAGATCAGATGTGTTCTCTGATGTGACTAAATTCAAGCTACCCTTCCACTTGACAAAACTTCTCTGCTCACATACTGAACGTTTACACATCTTATTTTGATAAATGCCTGGTTATCTATTAGCCTGGTTTTCTAAAAAAACCCAACCAAACCAACTCCAAAACCAAACCCTCTTAAAGTTAACACATTTGCCCTGTTCTTCTGCTTGAAAGTCACATCAAACAAGTGGCCCATTGGCCATTACATTGAAATTTGATATAGACTTAAAAGTTATTAAGGTCAACTCCACATAATACATGCTCGGGCAGCTACACATACCTCTCAAAGCTATCTGTACAGATCTCCAGTTGAGGGGCAAAGCATTCTGCACACCTGACAGTTCAGCAGCAAGAAACAGCCAGCCTATGTATGGCCACAAGGCAGCTTGAACAGAAGGAGGCTGGAGATGGTGAGGTAATTTTGGTCATTACTGTGGATGAACTAAGGGACCACCTGGGAGCTCTGAGGGTAAGAACATTCTTACGGTCTGTCACAAAGTCCACTAACAAGGACCCAGACCTCATCAGTTCTGCTGTTCGCAAGACCCCTCTGTTTTAGCACTGTTCTTTTCCCAAGATGATAAGGGATGGAGCAGCCTTGAACATAATGAGCTTGTTGACCCAGATGCCAGGTAACCACACTGAGAAATCTGATAAGCTCATAAGCTCATAGTCAAAATGTGAGATATACACACGTTTTTATTAGTAGTATCTACTCTATTGGTAAAAAGCTACAAGAAAATGTTTAACTGACCTTAATACTTGTATACCAAGCGAACAGCTGCCAAAAACACTCACTGAATTTCTAGAGAAATTCTTTTACTTCACCAGTGCTAATGTTGCCTTTACGAAGATAGCTGTAAGACATAAGGCTGCCCAGAGAGGTTGTGGAGTCTCCTTCTCTGGAGATGTTCAAAACCCACCTGGACACGTTCTTGTGTGATCTGATCTAGGTGGTCCTGCTCCGGCAGGGGGATTGGACTAGATGATCCTTCGAGGTCCCTTCCAATCCCTAACATTCTGTGATTCTGTGATAATATGATTATAAAGATTTTCTTTTAGTTGGTGCCATCAACAATCCTTCTTAGACGTACTTTTAACTCTGTATGTGGAAGCAGCTGAAATGTGCAATTTCTTTGTTTATTCTTATCCTTCAGAAAGTCCAGCTGCCCTTTTGAGTAGCCATTTTATAACCTGCATATTTGTTGAATCCTAGATAGCACACCAAGGGACTGTAACACCGCATACTGTTATACAGGAGTCAAAAAACAACCAGACAGCCATTTTCAGAATATCTCAACAGGCATACACTAAAATCATAACCACTGTAATATGCCCTCTAGAAATGGTGTTCATATGCATTCCACCAGATTTGAAACAGCAAAGCAAACAGAACTGTGGAGTAAACATTGAGCAAAGATGAACTTTTCTTTGTGCGGGGTCTACTGTAGTTCTCACCAGAACATTGGTCAGAACATACTCATATACATATATTCATAAACGCTTTTGTGGAAAGTCAAAAGAAACTTAGATGCTGCGACTGACAGATAAAATGGTCACAGACGTTTAAATGTGCTAATGAAGTTGAGAATGGTATAAGATGTGCAATTAAGTCTAAGTGAATAACAGGAAAATTTATTAAACAAGGGAGGGCAAGGGCCTATGTAATAAGACTGGAGCATGAACACCCAGATGAGGACACCGGGAACAAACTGATCATGGAGCAGACTTACACCTAACTGTTTTGACCACTTTATAATAGTAAGATAAAAATATATATACAAATACGTGTGGCTTTGTAATAGCCACGGGGATGTCATTTAGTGAAAGCACTGAGCATACGTAAGTATCGTGTGTACGTGAGTTAGCACTTTGTCAGAAAAAGCACGTTAGAGCCATGCCAGCCTGACAATAAGCGTGACCGAACCTTTGTAATGAGACTGAAGTCCGAGACCATTCCCAGCACAACGGACACCAATCATACATGAGGCATGCACACATTCAGACAGTACAAGGAACATTCTGTGTGGAGATGTCCTCTCTACCAATGCAGCTGGAAAAAGCAGTGTAAATTCAGCCTTTATTTGGTACTTTACTATTTACAAACAATTGTAAAACAATCTATCTGCTTTATCTCAAAGCACAATACAGCTGTGCTACAGCACTCTCTGCACAGCACTCTCTCAACAATTAAAAAAAAAGTAATTATTCATAGTTTTTAGCAGATATCTTATGAGAAATAAATTGTTCTTCAAGAGAACATTACCATTGTCACTTAGCCTTCTCCCAGCTTGGATAGTATGTCTTTACTAGACAGCAGGATTCAAAAAAACCCGAGAAATCTTAAATGTTGATAATTTATACTGTACTTTATGTACCTAGGAAGAAAGAATTAAGACTAACAAAAAAGAAATTGTATACACTTCTCTAGAGAAGTTTTATTTTTTTTTTCACACAAAATTTAACTGTACAGTTACTGTAAGTTTTGAAAATGTCACGGTGAGCATTTTAAAAGCTAATATTAAAAATAAGTGTTATATTATTAAGCTTACTACACACTCGACAACATGATTCGCTATTTTCACTCCTTATCTATTCAAAGAGGGAGAAATTAGTAATTTGTTGACAATTTTTAAAGACATCTCTCCCTACTACACATTTAATTTAACAGCACCTAATTTAATATTCAGTAAGATTACTATGAGTGGAACAGGTATCTAAAGGATTTGGTGACACTCCTAATTGGTAAATAAACAGACAAAGAGTTGATTGAAATCTTGAAAAAATGGATGGTGGATAAGGAATTGGCTGGATGGTCACACTCAAAAGAGTTGCGGTCAACAGCTCAATGTCCAAGTGGAGGCCAGTGACAAGTGGTGTTCCTCAGGGGTCAGTAGTGGGGCCAGTGCTATTTAACATCTTTGTTGGAGACATGGACAGTGGGATCGAGTGAACCCTCAGCAAGTTTGCAGATGACACCAAGTTGTGTGGTGTTGTGGACACACTGGAG